TCTAAAATTCAACCAATCAGAGTCACGTATATGAAGCTGATAAATTTGAAATTTTGCGCACCATTAATGTACAGAAACAGGAGGACTCTCTAATTTAAAAAGCCAGTTTTTATTTTACTATGCACAAGAAAGAACGGTTTAAGAAGAAAATCAAAAGTGTATCCATTGGATACTCATATTAAGTAATCGGGATTAAGGATATCTCATTCTAAAATCTTCAGCTCTGACTAGTTTTAGTCCAAAGGAAAAAACCGTTTAATTGGCTGTAATTTTGTGAATTTACAGGATTTTACGAACTCAACAACTTTTTAATTGAGTATACGTTTTAAGACAGAAATTTTGACGAAACTTAAAAAAAATGAGTAATTTTAAAAAAGAATTAAGTGTTCAATTGTAGTGGACTTTTTTTTGAAAAACCCTGGAATGTTTAAGATCGAACCAAAATAATATGCCCAACTCTACGCAGAATCCGGGTATGATATTAATTATTAATGTGAACAAACTTTTCTTTATTATCTAAACCTCTTCCTTTAAATAAAGCGCAGCTAGAGGGGTAAAATAACATTTTTAAAGAAATTGTTAAAAATGTTCAGTCGTTTGTTGCAGACTTGAACCAACATTTCTTTATGAAAATATAATCTTTTTTGATTTTTTTGTTGAAAAATTGTTGTGTTAACCAACTTGTTTTTGTGATGTCATATGCATTGCCTACTTTATTATGTAGGGTCATAAAATAAATTGTCACTTAAAGGGAATGTAGACGTAAATGACCCTCCAAAAATGACGTGCAGATTTATTGTGCAGAGATGTCAGTGAAAGATATTGTCAGAATTTAGTACGTTTAGAAATAAAAAACAACATAGCATCCTTGTTGTTTCTCAAATAGGAGTTTAAAGGGTAATGTTGGGAATCAGAATCAGAAATCTAATAATTACATCTACAGAGATCTTAATAATGTAAATCTTTTTCTTTTCATTTATTTTTTCATAAATAAAACATTTTATCGCATGCAAAGCCTGAGTTTCAGTATTTATATTGTTTTCAAATTTCATTGGAAAACAATACAGACCGAACACAGGTCATGAAACAATAAGGGATTCAAGATATTGCTTCCCTTTGGTGTAATTAAATCAGTTTAAATGAATAAAGTCTTTTAAAAATATATCTTTGAAAGTTTGGAAGGGAAACAAATATTAAACTGTCTTTTTGCATCTAATAAAAGGCAAAACCGATTGGGCCCAAATTGTGTGTGCCAACTCACAAGACCGGCCCCAGGAAAGGGTAATAGACGGTCAAAAAATGTAAACGTTTATTATTTAAAAAAATCAAACAATTTAATTAGACACAACAATTTTTGTTATTGCAGAGTACGATTAATATTTATTATAATAGTTATCATAAACCAGGATGAATTATTCTGTAAGAAAGATATTTCTGTAGTCTGTACTTTGTGATAACATATTCCAAAAGATATTTTTTACATTCTTTATTTTTAATTATATATTGAATAAGATAGTTATATATTCTTTTTTAATTAAATATTGAATAAGATATGATCTATCTATGATGAGTATAGACTAGACTAATACATTCATTGTATTTTCTCCTACAGGTTTTCATTAAGATTTCCTTTGTGTTCTTTTATCGGTTAATCTATACTTAGAATTGGGCGTTTTCGGCTTTTTTTCAGATGGCTCATTAACGACTCGTCTGTTTTTTTCTAGTCATTTAGTAAATATTTGAATTAGTGTTTGTTCTCAGAACAATTTTTAATCATTGATTTATTATTTTTTTGTTAGTTTTTAAGAAACGATTGTTTTGCGAATTTCCTTGAACGATTTAATTTGTTTCCTTATGTTCCTTGATTTTTTTAAGTAGCACTATGGAGTGTCACAAATTCAGATAATTTTTGTTCATTCACAAAAAACGATGTCCATCTCTATCTATAATATATATTTTGAAGGATGCCTTACACTGCTGAGTTTCAGTCTTATAAACTGATTAGATCATTTGTATTTTTTAACAAGGAGTAAAACTATCTGTCCTTTGTGGCCTTGTATCTCTTGTAGTCAATAAAAAATTTCAAAAAATGTTCAAGCTTTCATCTTCAGCCAGAGCAAAGATTTTGCATGATGTAATAACTTTAAGAGAATAAAGTTTTGTACAGTCTTTAACTTCTCAGATTTTGTGGAGCTTTCTAAAAGCCTTATAACCTGAATATACAAATAACCATGATAAATGACCATACTTTTCGCACAAATTTGTTTTTTGTGCATCTTTTAATATTTGATAATAAATATTTGGATATATTTAAGTAAATATGTTCCATAAGATTGCGAAAAACAGAATAAAGCGGAACGACGTAATTTTGTGAGAAATGAAGTTTGCCAATAATTGCTAAAAGTGCTATTTTCTCACGCAAAAATTTAGGGTATCAATAACTGTGAAAAAGTTTTGCGAATGGAAACTCTATTGATGAATAAAGGGTTTGATATCATTCATTAAGCTTTGAAACAGAAAAAAAAACGAATATTGTAAATAATCACGCAACCTCGTTGCTTGAGATAATATTAGTCTGTAAACTACTGTGAATGGAAGGAGGTTGAAGGGATAAGCCTGAAACTTTGCTTCCATTATATCCTTAATCCTTCACCAAAACCATCTTCCCTATTTTCTCTAATGTCCAATTTTGTCAAATATACTGTAAGATTCAGAAAAAGATGAATTGATTTTTTTGTCTAATAAAATTAGACCTTTAATGGTTAGGATGCTAGGGAGGTTTAAAAAGATTTATTTTTGAAGGACTTTTAAAATAAATACAGTTTGGATCTGTAGGTCAATTTATTATAAAGTTATGAACTACTTTTGATTTTTTGAAACACCAACCAGCCGTATTACCGTCCTCTTCCTATTCATCAAAAAAAATAGTTTTTTTTATACAACAAATACATATATAGTCACCGCAGTAATAGTTATATTGTAAATAAAAGGTTTGGTGTCTTGTATACGAGGCTTGACTATGGGGGGGGCAGGAGGGGAAAGAAAGGAAAGGGAGAGTGGCATGCAAGTGGTAAATGGAGTGGGCATTGTTATGGACGATTACTTTTAAAATCTCACAAGTATGGAACAGATCACTAAATTATGTATAAAAATAAAAATAAACGATTGACACATTATACAAAGTTTATTTTACATTAAATCAAATGAGATTATCTGGAAAAAAATTTAAAAAAAAAATATTGTGGACGATAGGTTAATTTACTTAAAGCAAGAAACAATTTTTTAATCACTAGATCAATTTACTTGAAGATTGAAACAGATGTGATCGCTAGATCAACTTACTTAAAGATAGAAACAGATGTGATCGCTAGGTCAATTTACTTGAAGTAAGAAACAATATTGTGATCGCTTTATCAATTTTAGAAACAATATTGTGATCCCTATATCAATTTACTTGAAGTAAGAAACAATATTGTGATCGCTATATCAATTTAATTAAAGTAAGAAACAATATTGTGATCGCTATATCAATTTACTTGAAGTTAGAAACAATTTTGTGATCGCTACATCAATTTACTTGTAGTTAGAAACAATATTGCGATCGCTAAGTCAATTTACTTAAAGATAAAAAGAATATTATGATCGCTATATCAATTTACTTAAAGATAGAAAGAATGTTATGATCGCTATATCAATTTACTTAAAGATAGAAAGAATGTTATGATCGCTATATCAATTTATTTAAAGATAGAAACAAAATTGTGATCGCTATATCAATTTATTTAAAGATAGAAACAATATTGTGATCGCTATATAAATTTATTTAAAAATAGAAACAATGTTATAATTGCTAGATCAATTTCCTTAAAGATAGAAACAGATGTGATCGCTATATCAATTTACTTGAAGTTAGAAACAATTTTGTGATCGCTATATCAATTTACTTGAAGTTAGACACAATATTATGATCGCTATATCAATTTATTTGATGATAGAGACAATTTATAAAGGAACTGAGTTTTTGCCACAAAATCTGATTTCCAAATTGTTATAGCTATGCAACCCAATGTCATAGACGTTTGATATTTCAAACTATGAATTCTGTTAGATCAAATAATTATCAATAAATATCAAATCTCAATATTGTAATCACTATATCAATTCACTTAACGAAAGAAAGAATATTGTGATCGCTAAAAAAATTTACTTGAAGATTTCTGATTTCTCTTTGGTTGAATTCGAAGATTCTTGAGATATGTTTGGTTAATTTTGAAGATTCCTGATTTGTTTTTGGTTGAATTTGAAGATTCCTGATATATCTTTGGTTGAATTTGAAGATTTCCGATATCTCTTTGGTTGAATTTGAAGATTCCTGATTTATCTATGGTTGATATTGATCCTGTTTTTTCTATGGTTGAATTTAAGGATTCCTGATATATCTTTGATTAACATTGAAGACTCCTGATATCTTTTTGGTTAAAAGTAAAGTTTCCTGATTTCTCTTTGGTTTGATTTATAGATTCCTGATTTTTCTTAGGTTAAAATTAAAGATTCCCAGGATATCTTTGGTTGATTTCGAATATTCCTGCAATTTCTCTTTGGTTGAATTTGAAGATTCCTGATTTTCTTTCGTTGAATTTGAAGATTCCTGATTTTTCTCTGGATAATTTAAAAAATGATTTTTGTTCATGTAAAACTGTTTAATCTTTACATAATAACACTCTTCTTGTTTTAAATTTGTTAGATAAAGCTAGCTGGCCAAATTGCTGAACCAAATAGGCAAACAAATTTTAACATTTATACATTCTTTACCTTTTGGAAATTCCACGGGCACCGCCGGCACTTCTTCAGTTAGTTTAAGGTCAAAGAAATGATTTGAGGGCAACGACGATAATCATTCAGATATTAATAAGTTATAAGTTTATATTTATTGGTATATATTAAATAGACTTAATATAAGAGTACATTATGTTTGGATAAAAGATAAGCATTATAACAGGTAGTGTTGTAGTGCAGCTTGGCCAGCAGGTGGAATATGAGACTGAATATTTACGTAGTTTTCACCTTGGGTCTCATTTCTCAGGAATTTTTATCATTTCTCACTCATTTTTAATATTTCAGTTGTAAAATAAAAATACATATGCCTTTAAGAGCGCTATGTACCCTTTTCCTGTTAACAATTTTAGCTTTCAACTTTGAATCTTGCCATTTTTTTTTCTAAAATTTTCACTAATTTTTCTGTTATGATTGGCGAATTTAAAAAAATAATGACGACCAGCCAAACAAGTAAAGTACATATATGTGTATATCTATATTATTCAATACAATTAAAACTCACATCATGTGTTGAATGCTTCTTTTCTTTTATCTATATCAAAGAGATTATCGATAGGTGGCAACAGAGAAATTAACCAATTATGCACGACGTCACAAGTGTCAAATATAACAAGGAAAACGAAATTTTCTCAAATTAGTTGTCATGTTTTCCAAGATTAAATAAAAAAGTGTAAAAACAGAATCTAAAGAGCACACAAAATTGCACCTATTTTACTGTAAGAAAAGCACTTCATTCTAAAATTATCACTATTATTGATGATTTTGTCGGACACAAAAACTGAATTGACACTTGTGACGACAGAATACAACTGTACTGAGAGTGTACAAATTCTACGTTGCCATCTATTGTACTAGAATCTATGTGATCTATATTATATATATAGATTAGATAGATGTTCATGCTTATCGTGAAAAGTTATGTAAATTGAGAAACAACTAACTTGAAAAGTTTTCAAAATTATCTCATTTTCAGGAGTTGCTATCAATTTCAGTAAAACTTAATTTACAAATTTATAAATTTACATCACAGTTTCATCTTTTGCATTACAGTGAGTTCCAGCAGGTACTTCACAATCAAGAAGGAGTATTTACAATTAGAAAATTCAAAAATCTGTTTTTTTGAAGCAACATTTTTAAATCCTAACTGATCAAAATCCAATCCAATAAGGTCACCTGTAATGAGTATTGACTCTTATTATGAAAACATAAACTAACAATTTGTCCTTTCGTGTGCACTGTATGCAGCTCTGTACTGTTCGATGGAGCGCGGGGTTGTGTAACCATAATTGTATTATCTTCATCACCAATTTAAAATAGGATTTCACGCACCCCTGACCCTCTTGTAAAAGTAAATTCAACCTAAAATCTGACCGCGTCAACTTTGTTGCACCGGCCAGTCCTATTGAGTGTCTGCTTTATTTAAACAATATCCGGGCGATACAGTACAAACTGGGTCCGGAAAGGTTGACCCGGCTCAGAAATTCAAATGTACTACAGCTGCCCGTGATTTCCTGGTGATGCATAAAGATTGGAAATGTAATTTCATTAGACCCTCCATTAATGAAGTAGCATATATAATTCACAACTGTACCATGGGGGCTCGGATCAGACATGAAAAAAATATCATTGATTTCCATTTAAAAATAATTTTTTTTTATTAATTTTGATATTTTCTCGATGTAAAGTGACTAGAAAACCGATTATTGATCAGATGAATTGTTTAAAGGTATCTTTAAACAATTTTGCCCTTGACCTCTTAAATGGAGGGTCACTTTGAATTTCAAGGACAGACCCTTCAAGTCCTTTTTACTTTTGCTAAAATATTCGTTTTTGAGAAAATGTCTTCTATTAATCTTCTCCCTTATATCATATAAATTGTGCCTGGCTTAGCTTTAAAACTGCAAACCAAGCTTCTTTTGCAAAATCTAACAAAGAAGAATTTATTGATAAAATCTTGGAAGTGTTTAAAAATTTTATTCTGGAACCGCTTTTGCTTATTTAGCGATTATTAGATTGAAAACAATAAGTTTATTCTAAGATTTGATGAATATGCTTACATGGGTACAAGGAAGGAAGGGGGAGAAGGGAGGGGAGGGGCAAGGGTACGTAAAACCAAGGTTGTAATGCAAGGAAAGTTATTTCAGAAGTGTACGCATCTTTTGTACTGCAGTGTACTGTCTCTGGGCGGTAATGCAAACACAAGACGGATGTTGAAGCCTGACATGGGATCCATCTTTCACATAAAAAAATCAATGAAATATTCTGGTCATAGGAAACTATCATGTGAATTATCAAAATTATCAAAATTAAATGCTTTAAACCTCCTCGGATACTAAACGAACACTGATGCATCTATTCTTGTTTTCAAATTCCGCCCAAAGAGAACTGGTTTCAATATGTACGCAGAGTATACAAAACCGCAATTAACTTTCCTTGCATTACATTCTTGTGTAAAACTAGCAAAAGTGGAATATTTTCAGTCATATTTTGATTTCTTATTTAAAATCTGATATAAGTAACAAAATATCCTTAAAAATGGAAATATAAAATGGTAAATAACGCACAACAGGAAAATTCTTCATTTAATGGGTGAAAATGGGTTATTTTACGGAGAGGGGGGAGGGGTCACGACCAAAGTTCTGAAAATATTTCAAATTATTTGAGAATTGATATTAAAATTGAACAGGCTGCATCTGACTGCAGTATAGAGCCTCCGATTAAGGTAATGTTTACTTTTTAGATTTATGATATTTTTTTAACATTTATTTTTGTAAATGAATGAAAATAATTTATTTTTGATAGTATAGTATAGTTACTCACGTCGACATAGGAATAACTCGTAAAATAAATATGACTTCATTTAGCAATATAAAAACCTGATAATCTCTATCCATAAACATATACAAAAATATCTATGACGATATTTTCTTTAATATTTTGATTTTTCTGCAGGCTTTTGAACTTTTTTAAGATCAGTTTCGATTAAGTAATAATTCAAAGTTTTTAAGCTGCAACCAACCCCAAAATCAAAAGCTCAAACTCAATGTGTATTTAAGTTTCTGTTGATTTCTTAAAGTTTGTCTGCAGAGAAAAAAATGAAAAATATCACGCAAAACCCGATGTAGAAAAATTAAAGTAAAATTATAGAAAATAAGTTTAATTATGTATTTAAACATTTTCTTGCAAACTCTTAAAATTTTTACTTTCAAAGAAAACCCTGGTTCAAAGAAATACTTGAAATTCAGCATTCGTACACAAAAGCTAACATTTAATGGAAGCATGTAGAAACTGTTGTCTTTCGAAAGAGTTTGCATCTTATCAGGAATTCTCTAAAACCAATAATGTTTTTAAATTTCTAAGTTACAACTCCAGCATGAATTATAACAAATAGATGTGACTGCCAATGTAAAAATATGTTAGGATTGTTTCAATTTTAATTCAAAATCAAAATTAAGAAAATTAAGCTTTTAAAACGTTGTCTTTCCTAATTTGCTGGTTATAATTCTGCTCGTGTCTCGTTTTCTTCTTAAGGTTTATGTCATTAAATGATCAACCATCCAAGTGATTTACGCCGTGCCCATTGGATCGTTTTTTTTTCTTAAGGTTTATGCCATTAAATGATCAACCATCCAAGTGATTTGCGCCGTGCGCATTGGATCGTTTTTTTTTCTTAAGGTTTATGTCATTAAATGATCAACCTTCCAAGTGATTCGCGCCGTGGTTGCGCATTGGATCGTTTTTTTTTCTTAAGGTTTATGTCATTAAATGATCAACCATCCAAGTTATTCGCGGCGTGCGCATTGGATCGTTTTTTTTTTCTTAAGGTTTATGTCATTATATCATCAACCATCCAAGTGATTCGCGCCGTGCGCATTGGATCATTTTTTTTTCTTGAGGTTTATGTCATTAAATGATCAACCATCCAAGTGATTCACGCCATGCGCTTTGGATTGTTTTTTTAAGGTTTATGTCAATAAATGATCAACCATCCAAGTGATTCGCGCCGTGCGCATTGGATCATTTTTTTTTTCTTAAGGTTTATGTCATTAAATGATCAACCATCCAAGTGATTCGCGCCATGCGCATTGGATCGTTTTTTATCTTAAGGTTTATGTCATTAAATGATCAAACATCCAAGTGATTTGCGCCGTGCGCATTGGATCGTTTTTTTTTCTTAAGGTTTATGTCATTAAATGATCAACCTTCCAAGTGATTCGCGCCGTGGGCATTGGATGTTTTTTTTTCTTAAGGTTTATGTCATTAAATGATCAACCATCCAAGTGATTCACGCCATGCGCTTTGGATTGTTTTTTTAAGGTTTATGTCAATAAATGATCAACCATCCAAGTGATTCGCGCCGTGCGCATTGGATCATTTTTTTTTTCTTAAGGTTTATGTCATTAAATGATCAACCATCCAAGTGATTCTTGCTGTGCGCATTGGATCGTTTTTTTTCTTAAGGATTATGTCATTAAATGATCAACCATCCAAGTGATTCGCGCCGTGCGCATTGGATCGTTTTTTTTCTTAAGGTTTATGTCATTAAATGATCAACCATCCAAGTGATTCGTGCCGTGCGCATTGGATCGTTTTTTATTAAGGTTTATGTCATTATATGATCAACCATCCAAGTGATTCGCGCCGTGCCCATTGGATCATTTTTTTCTTAAGGTTTATGTCATTAAATAATCAACCATCTAAGTGATTGGGGCCGTGCGCTTTGGATTTTTTTTTTTTAAGGTTTATGTCAATAAATGATCAACCATCCAAGTGATTCGAGCCGTGCGCATTGGATCATTTTTTTTCTTAAGGTTTATGTCATTAAATGATCAACCATCCAAGTGATTCGTGCCGTGCGCATTGGATTGTTTTTTTCAAATTTTTGTTTTTTCTCTATTTTTTCGGATACATAAACACGGATTTTAGCGGTCAAATAACAATTTATTGTGTTCCCCAGCATATTAAATATTTAAGGGATTGAGTTTTTGCAACAAAATCTAATATTTTATATCCCTGCAGCTTTTCAACCCTGTGCATATGTCTTAGACCTTCAATATTTCAAACTATGGATGCTGTGATATAATAATTTAATTATGTAGAGATTAAAAAATTTGAGATTATTTCAAAAATCTTTGTAGGACGGAGAAGATGGTATCGGTTTAATTTTTGTTCCTGGCGCTACAATAAGTGGAGAAGCGTATCTTCCGATCCTAAGGTAGGTATTCAGTGCTGACTTTTGGGACTTTTTTCTGTCTTAAAGGGAGCGTTTGCTAAACGACAAGGGTATTGAGGCTGAACCAAAAATTGAATTCGGAATTGTATCAAATGAGAAAATTGTAAAAATCCAGTGAAATCCCGGATTTGGTAAATTGTAATGTAATTCATGTAATCAATTTCATAAAAATAATTCTAGAAATATCCTAGTACTATTGATCCTTATGGATTAAAACAGCTAATACTATTTCCAGAGTGATCCAAGATGAATATCCTGGATATTTATATGGATTAAAACAGCTAAAATATTTCTAGAAACATCCAAGAGAATTATCCTGGATCCCTATGGATTAAAATAACTAAAATATTTCTAGAAGGATACAAGTGGATTATCCTGGATACCTATGGATTAAAACAACTAAAATATTTCTAGAAAGATCCAAGAGAATTATCCTGGATCCCTATGGATTGGAGCAACTACAGCATGGTTAAACAATTTCCCAAACCCAATTGGTAAATTAATCAATCAGAATCAATCAATGAATAATGAGAAGTTGAACTAGATATATCTAGCGTAACTGCTCTAGTGTGCACTACTGCAGTTTAACTATATATACCTGGTTTAACTACTTTTAGCTAGTAGAGGCTCAACTCTATAGTCGTTTTCTGATTCATGAACCAAACCAAATCATGTCTGTAATATACACGTTATATAGTTATATTTATACTTTTAGGATTCAGTATAAATTTATACACTTCATTTTCTGCTTTTATTGAATATAGAGTCGCTGTATTTGGTAAGCCTGATGTGATAATTTTCTCAAAAAAATATAACTCTCGCTGACAAGCAGGAAAGTCGTTCCAACTGGTTATCTGCCGTTCACCCTTTCACTGGACAGGTTTGCTCCACATGATCCATAAATCAGACTGGTCTTGGAGACCTTGTGGCGAATACCGTGGACTGAATACACAAACTGTCCCTGATAACTATCCTCTTCCAAATGTTTCTGATTTCACATCAAGACTGAACAGGTGCAAGATCTTGCACCTGTTCAGTATTACCAGGTTCCAATGTCCCCTGGAGACATTCCTAAGAGGGTGGTCATCTCACCTTTTGGGCTTTTTGAATGGATATGGATGCCTTTAGGACTATGGAATGCAGGATGTACTTTCCAGTGCCTCATGGACCAGCTACTTGGACACCTTCCACACTGCTTTGTATATATTGATGATATACTCATTTCCAGCCAGGATATCCAGTCTCATCTTCAACATACTTGCTAGGTTCTAGACAGACTCCGCCTCCACGGCCTCAGTATAAATCCAGACAAGTGTGTTTTTACAGCTCCTTCACTCGACTTCCTTGGGATGACAGTTTCAGCAGAAGGTTGTATTCCCTTGTCTAACCACACTGACGTAATATTTGCCTTTCCTCAACCCTCTGATAAGGAATTATCAACTTCTACATACGTTTCATCCAAGGTGCAGCAGGTTTTCTTTTCCCCCTAACTGAAGCTTTGAATGGAAAAGTTTTGTCCTTAACTTGGTCCCATTCCATGCTGGACTCATTCTTTGCTGCCAAATCAGTCCTTGACAAAGTTCCCACCTTGGTTCACTTTGATCCAACCGCCAGAATCTCCGTCTCCATTGATGCATCAGGTTCTCACATTGGAGCAGTTCTCCAGCAAGAAGTAGCAGGTTCCTGAACTCCTCTGTTGTTCTATTTCAGGAAACTTTCCTCTGCCTAATCAAGATACTCAACCTTTGATAGAGAGCTGCTAGCTGCTTACTTTGCCCTACGCCATTTACAGTTCTTACTAGAAGGTAAAGAGTTTGTTTTGCTCTCCGACCACAAACCCTTAACCTCCAGCTCCGTCACTTGTATGTGCTGCACCTCGTTTTAAAGCTAGGAGCAAACCCAATCTAGTTCCATGTTTTTCTCCTCTTTGTAAACTCGTAGGAACCCAAGACGGACAGTTTGAGATAAACCTCATCCTCTTTAACAAGTTCGAGGCTGATGCTGAGGGGACCTCGGTAGGGATCAACTATAATCGTCTTCCGATTCATGAAACCAAACCAAATCATTTCAGCAATATACATGTTATATAGTTACTTTTAGGATTCAATGTATATACAGTTCGTTTTCTGCTTCTATTGAATATAGAGTTGCTACAAGCTATTTGTTAATTATAATCTTTGGCAAAGGAACTAACAATGTCTGAAAGGCACAGGAGATGTAATTTCAAGTTACTCTCCATTATTTTTGTAGCATATCTGAATTACATCGGTGCCTCTAAAAGCTTTGCCTGTGCAAGAATGCATGAGAATATCCATTATTTTGTTTTAAAAATTCATTATTTAAAATTTTGGTATAAATTGGCTTGCAAATTCCTTTTTGTGGAACAATAATGAAAATTTAAAAATTCAACACTTTTCAATATTTTTCCAAGCAAGTTTCAAGCTAGTTTCAGGCTTGTTTGAAGCTAGTTTCATGTTAGTTTCAAGCTAGTTTCAAGTTAGTTTCAAGCCAGTTTTAAGTTAGTTTCAAGCAATTTTCAAGCTAGTTTCAAACTAGTTTCAAGTTAGTTTCAAGCAAGTTTCAAGTTAGGTTCAAGCTTGTTTCAAGCTAGTTCCAAATTAGTTTCAACTAGTTTCAAACTAGTTTTAAGCTAGATTCAAGTTAGTTTCAAGCTAGTTTCAAGCTAGGAAAACTAGGAAAAGGAGGGAAACGACGATATCTCACGTTGTTAATCAGATAAAGCATTAAAGGGTATTGTTGTGAATCAGGACCGCTCCTCTTGAAATGGAGGGTCACTTGAAATTTCATCGTCAGTCCCTTTAAACTCAGATTTCTTATCTCTTTACCTTTGCAACCTGATGTCGTACACATTCGAATTCCTATGAATAAGATCAAAAAGTCTAAGTTAAAGACATTTAAGGTGCACACCATCAGGTTGAAAAAATTGATCCAGTTTGCGTATTTTCCCATAAAGGAAATGTGTTCTTGCAACAAACTCTATATTTTCCCGACTATATCTTAGCAACCCGATTTAGTAGACCTTTGATATTTCAAACTATGAATTCTGTTAGATTAAATAATCTAAGTTTGAAATATCATCGGTTTACATCATCAGGTTTCAAAGATATAGGACTTAGCTTGTGGCAAAAACTCAAATACGTTACAATAAAAAGACTAACAAAATACATAAGAAAAGGTAAGATTCTAAAATTCAGATAAAACCATGAATCAAAATCTTAAAAACGGGAAAACTTTCTCACAAAATTAGGTAAAAACTGAAAGTTTGAAGATAACCTAATTTTTATTTTTATCTGAATATAGAAATCGGTGGACAGATCAATGATTGCCTGTCGATCGCAGAGATCAGTGGATTGAGCACAGAACGGGTTTTCTTTGGTGGGCATTCTCTTGGTGGTATAGTTTTAGAGAGCTATATTTCAGGACATGCAGAGCTGGCTCAGGTTAATTTCATAAATAGAGCTTATGTGATCCAGAGTATTCTAACTTATATAATACTAGCACAAGTGCCTAGCGTTGCCCGTTGAATTTTAAAACCCTTAAAAAAAAATTCGAAATTTTAAGCTAAAAAAATTTGATTTAAAAAAAAATCAAATTCTTACATCATATGTTATTCTATAACCCATGGGTTCCCAAATATATCGGCCAATTGGGTCCAGCCGTTTGCCCAGCTTAATTATAGCTAACATGTAAATATAAATGATTGAATTGCGATTTATTACATAGATATTCAAATTCGACCCCTAAGAACATAACATACACAGTTCTGAAATTCTAAACACAAAGTTATTAACGTATATAACTTTATATTCTATATAAGCAATTTTCTTTACGCGATCAGAATTAACAATGCGTAACTTTACAGTTGATTCAATTTTTGAAATAACTTTCACAATTCATTTCTGTACAGAAGTCATCAAAATAAAGGAAATTCTTGTTTTCAATTGAATTTATGAAGAATAAAGTGAAAAATGTTCAAAATTTTTAATTGTTTTTTTTTCAAATATATTGCCATTATTTTCTAACTCCAGGTGTTGTATTATAATTTAGTAAATTGGTTTTAGGAAAAAGTTTTAAACTTTCAAAAGTTTTATCTCAAATTGATTTATATTTTTAGGGGATTAAAGAGAAATGACAAGTAACCCTCCATTTGCAGAGGGACATGTCTGATTTTTGTCTGATCAATAATAGAAGAAATCTGCAAAACAATTTTGCATAGACACCACAATTTAAAGTAATCGATTTTTATTGAACATCTCATTCATTTTCGAAAATACAAAGATGGTTAAGGGTCTTTGTGAAACAGAGATGCCACTCTATAAATCCAGGGCCACTTGAAATTCCTTATACAGTCCCTTTAAAGATGTAGATAATTAAAACTATTTTAGGGTATAATTTTGCTTGGTACTTGGCTCCCAGATCTTCTCAGGTCAGTAAAACAAATTGTTATTTTTTTACATATTTTGGAAATTCTTTTTCAGGGCAATTATGACATAATTCATTGTTGAAAATATAACTTGATAAGTCAAAAATCCGTACTAGGGATGGTATTTGAATTGAGCGTATTATAATACTGCACTCTTTGTTCAACTACCATATGATTAGCCGGTCACTCTCTTTAATTTCAAAATGTAACAAAACTAATTCAATCCTTAACCAAACAGTTTAACATATCCTGGCTGGGGTTAAATTATCAAAATATTCGGAACAATACAATTTACTTTTCAAAGACGGTTTATGATGCAATACATATAAGAAAATTTATATTTCAAATGCAGCCAGGACAAAAAGTGTTCATCAGAGACAATAAAGTTTGGTTCGAAAAAAAAGAAATGAGGATGATGAAGAAAAATAGTGGACATGCTAAAAATACATCATATTGATTTAAACTTTAGGGCTGACAATGAATTCCCTGTCCCAGTTCTCACAGCAATAGGTAAATTTAAGCTTGATCATTAAAAATAAGAATACACAAAAAGTTTTAAAATTAAACATAATATACAACAAGGTAAAATAGTTAATACAAACGCAAACAAGTTTTTATTAAAACTATTACTCAATGAAAACTTAATGGGGAGGATATAATTCAAATTTAAATCTATACCCCCCCCCCCATAAAATTTATAAAGGTGTTTTTGTAATTTTTATATCAAACCCCTGATACGGCCGCTGGTGTAAAAAATTTAATTAAAGAGGCAAATAGGTGCCCTGGCCCACCTCCACTTTACTTAGGTATCCCCTAACTTTCCTGGAGGGGGACTTCCCCCTCAACCCCGTCCCCCATTAAGCCGTCATTGTATAAAATGTTATGTGTTCGATGGTTGGGCCAAAATATGGTAGTTTGCAGAAATATGCTGAATATAGAAGACAAACTCACAACTTTTTTAGATAAAAAGATGATTGCGCTGTTTTTATAAATAAAGATGAGTGTGTGCATCAAAATGTTGAATGCCACAAGTTCTTGTAAACTTTCAGATAAACCATATTTTCTAATCAGATTTACCCAGAATTTTTAAAACAAAAACAATATATATTTGGTATTTTGTTACACAGAATGTATTTTTTTTTCAATAATGTAAACCCTTAGTTTAAACAATTTAGATTTTTTTAAAGACACGTTAATAAAGAAATACAATTAGTACATTACTATAATTAAAGAAGGGTAGAGAATTTTTTAAATGTATCTGACGCAATAAAGGAACTGAGTTGTTTAACAGAAATTTTCTAAACCCTATATTGTACACCATCAACATTATTGATAACTTAAAATATCAAAGGTCTACGATATCGGGTTGCACAGATATAGGATTATAAAATTAAAGTTTGTTGCAAAATCTGTTTAGGAGAAATTGACGGAGGAGGTATTAGCTACCTTAGACGAGAATATTTCGAGACAAAAGATCTTTCTCCGGAAGTTCAAATGAAAACAAAAACTATCCTGGTTCCTCAGGTAGAGTTAACTATCCTGGTTCCACAGGTAGAGTAAACTATCCTGGTTCCACAGGTAGAGTAAACTATACTGGTTTTTCAGGTAGAGTTAACAATCCTGGTTCCTCAGGTAGAGTTAACTATTCTGGTTCCACAGGTAGAGTAAACTATCCTGGTCCCTCAGGTAGAGTTAACTATCCTGGTTCTTCAGGAAGAGTAAACTATCCTGGTTCCATAGGTAGAGTTAACTATCCTGGTTCCACAGGTAGAGTTACCTATACTGGTTCCTCAGGTAGAGTTAACAATCCTGGTTCCTCAGGTAGAGTTAACTATTCTGGTTTCACAGGTAGAGTAAACTTTCCTGATTCCACAGTTAGAGTAAACTATCCTGGTTCTACAGGTAGAGTTAACTATCCTGGTTCTTCAGGTAGAGTTAACTATCCTGGTTCCTCAGGTAGAGTAAACTATCCTGGTTCCACAGGTAGAGTAAACTATCCTGGTTCCTCAGGTAGAGAAAACTATCCATGTTCCACAGTTATAGTTAACTATCGTGGTTCCACAGGTAGAATTAACTATCCTGGTTCCACATGGTAGAGTAAACTATCCTGGTTCCAAATGGTAGAGTTAACTATCGTGGTTCCACAGGTAGAATTTACTTTCCTGGTTCCAAAGATAGAATTAACTATCCTGGTTCCACAGTTAGAGATAACTATCCTGGTTTCACAGGAAGAGATTACTATCCTGGCCTATCCTGGTTCCACAGGTAGAGATAACTATCCTGGTTAAACAGGTAGAGCTAACTATCCTGGTTCCACAGGTAAAGCTAACTATCCTGGTTCCACAGGTAGAGCTAACTATCCTGGTTCCATAGGTAGAGATTACTAACCTGGTTCCACAGGTAGAGATAAATTTAATGAATTAGAGAGTTCGATAAACAACCTACCGCTGAATCTTGAATCAGTGAATTGGTTATTCGTGATTTGAGCCGGCAGTAGGTAGTTCAACGACTCCTCGCGATGCATTTAATCCGGTTCCTGGTGTTTAAATCTAGTATTACGAAAGTAGAAAACTGTGACCTTTATCACAATTGGACAAATTAATAATTTCATCCTTTTTGTCGGCATATGCTTGTCAAATGTCGGCATATGCTTGTCAAATGTCGGCATATGCTTGTCAAATGTCGGCATATGCTTGTCAAATGTCGGCATATGCTTGTCAAATATCGGCATATGCTTGTAAAATGAAAAACGTAAAACATGATGCAATTCTGCAAAGTATAAATATTGTTGAATTATATTTAGACCAAAACATGATAAAGTTTAAATTAAAGAAATTGAGTCCAGGGTGATCAAGGAACCTTAAAAATATTATAATTGATTAATATGGTTGCCAATGAATTAAAGCTATTTTAGTTAATTTGGTAAACATGAAATGTTCAAAGGAAAAGTGTCATTTCTCCATAATTCAACATATTTTAGGTCCAAATGTTGCTTTTCTTCAAACAATTATACAAATACACGGTAATTTCCTAGAGAACAATTTTTGTGACCCCCGCCCCCCCCTTTTTCAATTTTTTACATGGATCTTAAGGATCATGTGAATACAATTGGTCATGTGGCTGCAGCGCCCGGCCCCCTAGCCTGTCCTAGCCGCGGCGCTCGGCCCCCTAGCCTTTCCTAGCCGCAGCCGCAGCGCTCGGCCCAGAACCTAACCTAACCCTAAAATAAAAAAAAATAAATAATAACAATTTTGCTGAAAAAATAGTGGTCATGTAAAAAATTGATAGGAGGAAGGGGGGGGGGGGGGGGGTGTCCAAAAGTCGTTCTCTATGACAGAACCAACATTCACAATGTATTAAAATGTTAAAAACTAATAATAAACAAATAGTCCGCAAAAAGAAAAGTGTGAACACAAATTAAAAGGTCATTAGTGGATCATTTATATTTACAAAATTAGTCATTGTAGACATCATTTATACTTAGCTTTCCTTTCTTTTTTTGTAATAATCAATAAACATTTTCCAGCACTAATTCATATATGTATATATAATAGGCATTTTTTCGTAGTCAGTAAAACATTTTTACTTTATCCAAAGGTTCCCAAGACCAATTTTGCATTTATAGCGTAGCGAGAGAAGTTTGCTAGGCAAAATTGGTCAAGTGAACCCGTGGTTAGTTAACTTTTAGTTCCGAAAAATTAGTTGTTCACGAAATTATCGTCTTTTAAGATGAAAAGGCGTGATTATTTGTTCCAAGGGACATCCAGTAGCTTAAAATTGTGGGTTGGTCATGGTGGTCAAAAGGTGGTAAAAATATTTTTGTTTGAGGTAAACCATGGTCAAGTGGCGAGTGGTGAGCTTCCTGACGGAGTAATCACCGACGACATTGATCCAGAACTTTCTGAAGAAGAAGCTCACACGTAATTATTTTAAAAATCAATTCCTAACATGGACAAGGTCAAGGGGTAGGGGGGTCGAAAACAAAACATTCTAAGAAATAACAATGTAATTAGAGCGTAGTTAATTATTGAACATAATAAGATGTGAAATAAAAAAAAAACGAGTTTACCATTTAATTTTATTAGATCTCAATTTGAACCTTACCCAGAATTTGTAAAAGAGGGAATTTCTTCAAAAAAAAATTTCATTAAACATTGCTAAAAATTTAGTTATTTGTCTGTTCCTTCATCGCTTTTAAACAAATATCATTAATTAATTAATATCAAATAACATTGTCGAAGTAAAATAAATCACGATATTTGTTCAAGAGTGTTCTGGTTACCTCTGTATCTTGAAAAATAGTATTATAATAAATGGACAAGTTCAAATTCAATATTAGAATAATTCCTGTAAACAGTTTGAAATCCTCTGTGGGTTCTTCACTAATCAGTAAATATTCTGTTTGTATGTATTCTCCTGTTCAGTAGTTATAGTGTTCATGTATACTTCTGTTCGGTATCGTGCATCCTCCTCTTTAGCAACTTAACTATGCATTTTATGTATCCCTCTGTTTTGTTATGCAGTTCACGTATCCTCATGTTTGGATATTATATTGTTCATGTTTACTCCTGTTTTGTAATTATATGCTGTTCCTATATCTTCCTGTTTTGTAACTTTATTGTTCGTGTATCCTCCTTTTTAGTAACTATCCTTTTCGTATATTCTTCTGTTTAGTAACTATATTTTTCGTGTATCCTCTGTTTAGTAACTATACCGTTCGTGTATCCTCCTGTTTAGTAACTATACTGTTCATGTATCCTCCTGTTTAGTAACTATGCTGTTCGTGTATCTGACTGGCTGATCTTGAACAATGAAACTATCTCTGAACAAGAAAAGAGAACAGCTGAAAGAAATTTTGATGATTACGATACAGAGACATTCAACTTTCTTAAACCATTCTCCGCCATGTTTGAACAAGAAACTCAATCCTCATACTCTCCATTCACTCAGCAAGCACAGGTTAAAGATTCAATATATTTTGGTTTAAATAGATCAGACGTATTTAGATTTTGTCTGAAATCTATGTAACTATGAAACTCATCAAATTTGTATACAGCCTCGACTTTAAAGTGTCTGAACGCATTGGCCTTTGGTTTGACCACACCTCTTTGTAGCCCTAGTTTATACATTTAAAAAACATAATGCTCATGCTCTGTCTTTCTTAATAAGAATATATTAAAGAATTTTCTGAAATTAACTGCATAAACCTTATTTTTATGAGGCCCTTCATTGATATCCATGATTTGATTTTAAAAACTGATTTTTTTAATTTTTGGTCTCTCTCTACAAAAGTGACTTGCGCAAGTAAAGAAATTACTTTGAATTCTTGTAATAATACTTGCATATGTGCGTTCTTCAAAAACTGAATAGCATTATTTCCTTGAATTTAGTTGGAGCTCCTTCAAGTTGCTATATCTGATAATCTGGAGGTTAAAGATGAAATAGTGGATGCTGGAACTTTTCAGCTTAAACAACCAAGCTTGGAGGTCAATCCTCAGGTTTTAGTTTTTAATTTCTTTTCATATACATGGTTTATTTATAGAGCTTGCAGACCATTTTACGTGGAATAATATTAATAATAATAATCAATCCTTCAATCTGAAAATTCAGGCTTGAGCTCCCATCCGTTTAACTTCCAATGAATGAATCCAGTTTAGAGATGAGTGTAAATCCATGGTTACACATACAGGATGAGTCTTAGAGACAACTTTTGTGTAAACGAAGCACAGTAAGGTTAACCAAAGTATTTAAAATAATTCCGAACAGTGGAGTCCTCTCTAATCTCTCATCCTTTGCGAATAACCCTTTATGCAGATGTATTTGTGCTAAAATCGAATAGATCTTAATATTTCTCTTTCAGTATTCACACCAGATTTTTATACATTTTTTCTCAAAAACATCGAGTGCATACAGAGGCGCAACTAGGACTTTTGCTAGGGGGGGGGGCAATATATTATTTTGTTAGGGTTTGGGGGGGAGGTTAAGGGTTTCCCCCCTTTTTCAAAAATTTTTCAAAAACAAAAGTGCTTTTTTAAGGGTTTGAAGTCGAAAAAAAGGAAATTTTAAGTTGTTGCATGCAGATTTGGCTGTGTTCAATTCAAATCGATTTTTTGTTCTTGTGTTTTTACAAAATTTATACTTCCAACAGCAGTAAAATGATGATTAGTCAATTCATTGAATATGTGTGCGAATCGCAAAAGAGTATTTTTTAAGTACCTGGTTTAATTACAGATTAAATTGCAAGAAATAATCATTTATAGTTTCTGGAAAAAAAAACATAAAAATACATAGGTAAATAATAATTTCAATCATCTACATTGAAAAAGGACAGATTATGTTACCTTTTCTCTTGAAGTTATTGAATTAATGATTGATCTAACCAACATTCATAATCTAAATTCATTTTCGATTTTACAGAACTTCTGTCAAAGAAGATAAATCTTGTTAGTTATCAAAAATGATAATCAGTTAGAAATTTGCCAGGTTCAGAATTTTCTCTAGATTTGGAACTGAGTTTTTGCCACAAACTCAAATATTCTAATCCCTAAATCTTTGCACCGAGTGGTGTAAACATTTGATATTTCAAACTTGGAATATTTTACCATAAGAATTCAAAGTTTGATATCTACGAGTACTCTATAAACTCAACACAAATAAAATACAGTTCAGAACTTTTTTTACATTAAATGTTTACAATAGCCTTTACCTTGAGAATTGAGAAAGATAAAAATATTCTTTTTAAAACTAACTATAGTATAATAAAATTTCTACAATAACTCTATTGGTTTTCTTATTCCTGTGATACTGATTTTCGCCATTCTTTCTTTCTTTTCATTCTGCAGGGGGGGGGCGCCCCCCCCCCTCTCAGGTGCTAGGGGAGGGCGCGCGCCCGGCCGCCCCCCCCCTAGTTGCGCCTCTGAGTGCATACAGACACAGTACGTACATTTATATTTGCTCATAGATATCAGGTCTTTATAATTCTATAGCACTTTTAGTAATTTACTAAACCTAAAAGCTCATTTCACTACTCCAAGATAAGATAAATATGTCCAAATCTTTTGAAGCATTGTTCATATTTTCAAATATGAAATTTGAAAGTTTTGTTTATTTTGTATCTTTGTTCCTCTTGAGAAAAGTTGAAACAAGTTCAAACCTTTATATTACACAAAGTTTGAATAAAAGTATTGTTTGAAATTTTATCAGAGCTAAAAACTTTAGAATGAGATATCCTTAATCCCGATTACTTAATATGAGTACCCAATGGACACACTTTTGATTTTCTTCTTAAACCGTTCTTTCTTGTGCATAGTAAAATAAAAACTGGCTTTTTAGATTAGAGAGTCCTCCTGTTTCTGTATCTTAATCTTAAATGGTGAGCAAAATTTCAAATTTCATAACTTCATATACGCGACTCTGATTGGTTGAATTTTCTACACGTTTCAGGAAACAAGTGCAAGATTAGGTTATCCTCGAAATTAAAAAAAGAGAGGATCAAGTATTAATCTTGATATCCAACATTCTAAAGTTTTCAGCTCTGGTTTCTGAGGAATTTAGAGAAAATAAGTTAAATTAAAGAAAAAAAGAGAATTAGCGTTGTTATGTAAAACAATAAACAAGTTTATTTGTTGGGTTCATGTTGTGCTTTTTAAAGTTTTAAATTGTGACTTTACAGGCAAATAAATATTTATTATTCATTAAAAAAATAGTTGCGAGTCTAACTTTTTCATTGAAAAATAATACTTTTTTTGGAAATCTATTCCAAAATAATTATTTCTTCATTTATTTCTTGGCTTCACTTATAGAACAGGAATTATATGTTGTTGGACTTTACTTCACTTTTTAAAGTAATAATACTACATAATCGACATTGCAAAACTCAATTTTCTATATTTTTGCCCCCGAATGTCGTAGACCTTTGATATTTCAAATTATATATTTTGTTAGATCATGTAGTCAAAATTAAAAATATCATGGGTTTAGACCAGAAAAGGTTACAAAGATATAGGGATTAGAAATTTTGTTGCAAAAACTCAGATTCTTACCAGACTTTTCACTGATTCTAGACATGAAGAATGCGATAGTTGAACTATATTAGAAAATATATTCAAATGTCAAGCGAACTGTAAGGTTGATTTCAAGTGACCCTCCTTTCTGTAATTCTTTTTCGCAGATAAACCGCAGATGAAAACAAACAGTTTTGAGAAACAAAAACATTGATATCTAATTCATACATGATCATCATTCAAAGCTTTCAAGGGTACCGTTGTAAATCAGGCATTGTTATCTTTGCAAGGAGAGTCACATGGAATTAGGCTTACAGATCCTTTTAATGTTTAAATAAATAAAGGAGTTTAATGCATTATAATTGTAAATGTTTAAATGTAACAGCTCATTGGTAAAAAAAAACATTGGTCACATATTCAAACTTTGACTAATAAGTCAAAAATTTTAATTATAAAATTCTAATCTAAGATCAACATGAAAAATTATTTTTATTCTTAATAATATTTGTATGTAGACTGGACTGGTTATGGTTGGAACTGTCACCCATCTCACCTTTGATTTAGATATACTCGATCATAATCATTATAAATCAGCAAGGTCAGTATTATTCACGTTGGGGTCACCATTTTTATAATAAAATGTAAACCAAAATATGTATCGCTCTCATGTTAAAAACAAATTAAAGGAGTTGAGTCTTTGCCACAGCCTACAACCTTCAACTTTCTATAGATTTGATTAGAGTTCATCCATTAAATCATGGAGTTTATCATCTGAACCTCGGAGTTTATCACTAACCCTGTGCAATTTTCATTCAAACCATGGTAGTTTATCCCCTGAACCATGGAGTTTATCACCTGAACTATGGAGTTTATCACCTGAACTATGGAGTTTATGATCTAAACCATAAGACCCTTTTACTTTGATATATCCTAACCATAAAATATTTCACATCCTGGATATCTGGAAAACTAAAGAACACTGTCTGCTCATATAATCTCAAACACTTCTGAGAGATTGTTATTAACAATTCTGCATTAAAAAAAAAGAAATATATTTTGTTTGTTTCCGCATTTGTTTAATAAAATACAAAGGGTCGTACAAAACACATTTGTTCTAAAATGGTCGTTCGAAATTATATTGAACTTTGAAGTATATGTGAAATCAGGACTAAATTTCTCCAAATCTTTAAAATGAATTTTCTCAGGATTCCCTCGAACCCGGATTTTGAATTTTTACATTTTGAACTCAGGTTGACCGCCTTTTTGGCATAGAATTAATTTCATGTCTGAGCACCAATTTCATGTCTTGAACAGGTTAAGCCTCACTATTATACTATTGCAATGTGCTGTATTTTTTAATATATATTAGTTTTTGTATTTAAGAAACAATAATGCAATATATATCAATTTTTCTATTGTATGATTGCATTGTGCAGTATTTTTATTTGCATTTACTATTTTAATTGAATTGAATAATTCATTTTGTTGCAAACTTTTAAAATTTTAATTTTATAAGAATTCACTACAAACTAATCAGAAGCAGGACATCAACTTTTTAAGATATTAATAATACAACGCTAAGAACTTGCAGTTCCTATAGTTTTTATTTTATGAAAAAATAGGAGAAAAACTAATTTATTCGGATATAAATTAAAAATTCAAAACATGTTTTCTTCCTTATAGCTCTTCAATTAGAGGGGTAATGATTAAAAACGTTTAAGATTTTATTTTCACGTGCAATTTACTCTAGTTTCACTTGAATTTTATTGTTTTCTAGTACTCTGAAGTTTTATTGTTTTCTAGTACTCTGAACTTTTATTGTTTTCTATTACTCTGAAGTTTTATTGTTTTCTAGTACTCTGAAGTTTTATTGTTTTCTAGTACTTTGAAGTTTTATTGTTTTCTAGTACTTTGAAGTATTAATGTTTTCTAGTACTCTGAAGTTTTATTGTTTTCTAGTACTCTGAAGTTTTATTGTTTTCTAGTACTCTGAAGTTTTATTGTTTTCTAGTACTCTGAAGTTTTATTGTTTTCTAGTACTCTGAAGGCCAAGATGAAATCTGCAGATTCTATTTATTCTGCTGTTGAACTACCGGAGACAGGACAGTTCATTTCATGTTCAGAACTCAACAAAGCGTCCTTAGATCTAGCATTGTCCGTTGCAAGTCAAACAGCTCTTAACAGGAAAGAACCTTCGGAACAATATTAACCCTATCCCGCCCGGTCGGGATATTTTTGTCTAACATAGATGTGAGGGAGTATTAAATTGTAAGATTACAAAAGTGTATAGCTTTGATTATTCTGGTATAAGGCGTTTTTAAGACATAAACAAATTTAAAGGTACTCCCCCCCCCCCACCCCAGCTGGATAAGGTTTTAATGTTTAGTTTAGAGAAGATTCTCAGTAAATCTGATTTTAGATTTAAAATTAATATCAAATCCTTGTCCAAATATAGATTTTTTTTTCATATTTCGTGATTTTATATTTTCCCAATTCAATCTAAATATTCTGCTCATATCAACCCTCTGGATTGACAGGATTCAATTTATTCATTAAAATTCTATTTTTTTTTTGATCCATCATATAAAAACCTTCATTTCCTCTGTTCCTCTAAAACGTGATTTCTTTGCAGAATCAATTTTTTAATTCGCAGTTTTAATTGCAAACCCTTAAAAAAAGTTTGATTGAAAAAAAAATAAAATAGTTCAAACATCTGAAATGGGTCACTTTTTGTTTTATTACACCCGAACTAACCAGGGCGAGATGCATTCGGCTTCTTCTATTAAATAACGTTTTGTGATGGAAACGAACCGTTAAACCCAAGTGAGTAGCACATTAAATAAAGTGCAAGTAACATAAGAATAAATATTTAAAACATTTTCTTTAGAAAAGGACGTTTGATTTACGAATCAGATTAAAGTTTTGTACTTTAATATTTCATAAAAGGGCTGACATAATTTTACAAGCTTCTCAGTTAAAGAGAGACTTTAACGATTTTTAACTTGGTTTGAGATTATTTAAAGGGATTTAACGCGTTTAATTTCAAGTGACCTCCAACGCAAAGATGGTATTGTCTGATTCTCAATGGTCCCTTAAAAGTATAAATTATATTTCAATATTTATGATTTATTTTAACTGATAATTTTCATTTGTGTATTTACTACAAAAACGACTTGCGCATTTCTAGTGCAGGAGAACATATAGGAAAGATCAGAATGAAACACTCCTAAAATAATTTCCCACAATAATAAATCGAAAAAGATTTCAAGGGTAATGTTGTTAATCAGGAATTGCTATCTTGAAGAGTCAATTGATATTACGCGTACTTTACCTTTAAAGAAACATTTGATCCCGCATGTTAATCCAAGGTTCCGTGTAACTGTAGGTTGAAGGAGAAGGGACGAAATCTAACTTTTCTTCCCGACCATGAGATGGGTTGGGGAGGAATATCTTGGGAGCTTTCAGGTATATTACCGGGATACTATGATTTTTTCCACAAGAACTTTACTGGGAAGTTTACTTTACCGATTGATGTTTAAAACCAATTTAGCAAAATCAAGAAAGTGGGATAGAGAAACCCTGTCTTAAACTCTTCAAAGAACTTGTAGGATTAAAATGCCTAGTATTACACAGAAATCTATCATATGATCATATACATAAAGTAATTTAAAACCCCTTCACCCCTCTTCCCTTTCCCTCTACCGTTCCCGACCCCTTCCTCTCTTTCAAATTCGTCTTACTGTAGTATTAAACGGATTAATTTAATCCTTTCTGATTCTAGCTAAGTAAAGGATTTAGAACAGCTTGGTTTAAACTTCACCTTTCACTTGAGATTATAACAAACAGTTTAGTGCCTCTCTTCAATAGATTATATCTAACTATATATTCAATTATTATATCTATCTATATATATACATTTATTGGACTCCAGGCCAAATGGTGGTGTAGTGCCCTAAAAGAGGTCTGGGGGTTCCACGTTGGGTTCCCTTTTAGATTAAACCTGCTTTGATATAGAGAAGTAACGTCTATTTGTTTTATGCCTGATCTTAACTCAGGAACCCCTTGACCGATTTGCCTGTATTTTTTATTGGGGAGTTATTAGAACCATAGGAATGTTCCTAGCTTGCTGAATACACTTAATGTGACCATGTCGAGTTTTGCATAAGCATCGTTTGGAATAATAAGGAGGAATATAAACTTTAGAGGTTATTGGTCATTTATTGGTTCCAAAACGGGTTTATGGGTCATTTCTAACACTCAGTGTTAGAAATGGAACAAATTGCGGTTTTGAACTAATGTCCCGTGAACATGCTTTTGTATTTAGGGAAACTAGAATGGGCTGAGGTTAGCCCTGGTGAAGCTACTCTTAAGTCTTCTAGACTTACGTCAGGTCATTTTTAAGACATAAATACTCCAGTTTAATGAATTTCAGTGCTGTGAGATTCAAACTTTGACTTTGACTTCGAGGGGGAATTAGGAATGTTAAAAAAAAAATAAACATAATTTTACAAATTCCTGTATTGCAATTAAAACACAATCCTAGCAAAATTTGTAAAGTATAATGAAGAATAAAAGACGAACGAATTAATTTCACAGTTTCTATAGTATCCTCCATATGTACACTGTGCAGTGTTGTAATTGAATGTTATTTGACAATTTTCTCTCTATTTTCCTTTTCCTGTCCGGCTTTCGGGAAATGTAAACCGACATATTTACAATATACGTCATTATTGGATTCCATTTTGAGAAGGGAACTAAACTGCAAACAAATCAGAACTAAACTGGGTTTTGATCAGCAATTTTCTGCTTAAAGAATGAGAAAGTCATGTTAAGGAATTTAATTTGAACTTCAGCTAACAGTTTGTATCAAAAGTAGCAAAATAATTAGAATATTATTGTACAGGAGTTGATTTCCCATTGTTTCCTGGCGTACAGTACTGCGATATCCTGTCCCCGTACAGAGCTCTTGAGTGGATTTATGTGGAGAGCATTCGGAACACCATGACGTTGTAAAATGTTTCAAGATAGTTTTAACGACAAAAATTAGAAACATCTGCATCTGTAAATCATTTAAAGACGCAGATATAACCAATAAAATGTGGAATGATCGTCATCTTCTTCTTTCAGTTTGAGATGCCAATGCCACTATACGAATGTTATATTTATAAATGGTTCACCTCATATCTCTTATTGGTGGGAGTAAGGTTGTAATGCAAGGAAATTAATTGCAGTTGCTTATACTCTGCGTACACATATTGAAACCAGTTCTCTCTGGGCGGAATTTGTAAACAAGAATAGGTGCATAAGTGTTCGTTTAGTTTCCGAGGAGATTTAAAGCATTAAATTTTGTTATTTTGAAAATTAACATAATAGTTTCCTATGACCAGAATGTTTCATTGATTTGTTTATATGAAAGATGGATCCCATGTCAGGCTTCGACATCCGTCCTTTGTTTACATTACCGCCCAGAGACAGTACACTGCAGTACAAAAGATGCGTACACCTCTGAAATAACTTTCCTTGTACTATAACCTTGGGTGGGAGTAAGGGTGGGATAACCAAAAGAGATTAATTGTCCTAATTTTTCAAATCACATTTTACATACTTTAACACAGAAAGTTCTGTATTTTTCTGAAAGATCCAAGATCTAAGATTCGTGTTCATTTGCTGACTTGCAGAACACCAAAGCTTTTAAGTTTTTAAAATTGTCAATTTCATGTCAAAGGATTTATTAAGTAGATTTTCATCAAAACTCTGTAGAGTAATATTAGAAAATATGTATGTTGAGAAGAGGAAGGTTGTTAATAACTAAATTAAAATAAAAATAAGAATCTTTGATATTATTTTATATGTTGAAAAGGAGAATGTTGTTTATAACAAAATTGAGATAAAATTTAGTATATTTGAAATTATTTTATATAGAGTTACAAACAAAGGATGAAACTTCAGATACTACTTTATGGAATTTATTATATTATCTATATATACATAAATATTTATTTATTTAAAAATTATTTAATTCTACCATAAATAACCTTTTTTTGGCATAAAGCTAAGTTTACTTTTCAGATCCTTTTCAACATATTTTAAATTGTTTAATAAATATATTCTTTTGAGCTAATTTTGTTAAGTTAGAACAATTTAAAAAAAACCTTCAGATACTTCACAGTTCGGATGAGCGCTGCGTAGAGTTGCTCTTGACTTATCCTACAAGGAAGTAGGGAAACATAGGATTTAAACAGTAAACAGGAACTCCATCTTCAGCTTATCTTGGCTCAACATCTCAGCTAACAAGTAACACCAAAGTATAACCCCTGATAGGTATAAAAGCTATGAACAATGATACCGGTTTTTTACTTGGCCGGCTGTGAGGACTGGATTACTGTGAAAGATTCCACCTGATGGGGCTTTAAAAATTTCAACTACCCATTTTGCATAAGTTGTGCTGTTATGGGTTTCCACCAGGAATATGTGTTGCTGACTCAGATATAACATGTGTAAACAAAACAGAGTTCAGAAAAAAATGAAAACAGGATCATCTAAGTTGGCAGCTTGGCAACTGCTAGGATGTTCCAAAATGAAAACAGGATCATCTAAGTTGGTAGCTTGGCAACTGCTAGGATGTTCCAAAATGAAAACAGGATTATCTAAGTTGGCAGCTTGGCAACTGCTAGGTTGTTCCAAAATGAAAACAGGATCATCTAAGTTGGCAGCTTGGCAACTGCTAGGATGTTCCAAAATGAAAACAGGATTATCTAAGTTGGCAGCTTGGCAACTGCTAGGATGTTCCAAAATGAAAACAGGATCATCTAAGTTGGCAGCTTGGCAACTGCTAGGATGTTCCAAAATGAAAACAGGATCATCTAAGTTGGCAGCTTGGCAACTGCTAGGATGTTCCAAAAGAAACTTTTTTTTCGAAATTAGATGAAATATTATGAAATATGTATGAGCAAGAAGAAAATTAAGAATAATAAATATAGAAATGTCAAAATATTTCCATCTGCCATCATATAATTAAATTAAAGAATATTATTGAAATTAAAAAAAAGAGTATGAAAAAATATTAAAAAAAGAATTAGCAATGACTTAAATTAAAAAATCATAATTGCATTTATGTAAAGAAGAAGGATACACTATGCTTATATATGGAAACCGGATGTACAGACGGAATGAATACTTAAAAGCTGTAATAACTATTTATAACATTGTTATTTTGGTTCGCAGTGTTAAAGCTCGGAACAAAATTAAATCTAATAAGGCGAGAACCTTCTTGATAAAGAGAAAATTTCTGTCAAAAACTTTATAACACTGTAATATAACTTTGGAAAATTTTTCAGGAATTCAATTAAATTTTTTTTGTTTAACTTATTAATTAATAATTATTAATCATTCATATAAATTAAACTATCAAAGCCAGCGCACTTTTAAATTTATAAAATACAAGTTTATTATTAGAGTTAAAACTTTTATGACGTTAATCCTATGGCGTCCGCTGTCTGAAAAATGCACTTTAAGAAATGAAGTAGAACACACAGCATTTAGATTTTCTAAAAAAATTGGGTTTGGACAAAAAATTACATTTTTTAATGTGTTAAATTTAACATAGTTTTAACAATTCAAAAGCACACAAATTCAATTTTTTACTTTTTGTAAATTGGGTAATATTCAGAAAAATCTCCAAATTCATTGTTTCTAATGAGAGAAGATTAATAAAAAATCTCAAAATTCGTGTTAATTGCTCCAAACCAAAAATTTATGTTAAAAAATTGTTTTTTTTTACACAGTCACACCCTGATGGTGTAAACCTTTCAAACTTTTCAAATTCTTCGTTAACGAAATTTTACATAAGTTTAGAAAAGAAAACTATCGGAAAATAGTTTTTTTTAAAGATTTTGTGATTCCTACTAAAAGCCAAAAAATAGGATTACAAACTCACCCAACTCTAGTCAAATGCAACATATTAACTTGCTATATTGTGAATTAACAGTTATACATTTTATCTAATTTTAAGACAAACGAAAAATGCAAAATCAACAATAAAAACTTGAACTTTTTCTGGCATCAAATGAATTGAGTCTTTGCCACAAACTCTGATTTTCTAATCACTATATCTTTGGAACCAAATGTTGTAGACCTTAGATATTTCAAAATATGTAAACAATTCCATTAATCTCAGGTAAAATGTTATCTTTTCCATCTTTAACTGTATTTAGAATTTAACATTTCAATTTTGATTTTTAACAGTTGTTGCATTCAATTTATTTCCTCAGTCTTCTACATTGTCATATTTAACATGTACCTAATATTTACTATCTTTCTATCGTGACTTTTAAATTTGCAATTCAGAAAAATCACATCAGAAAACTCTGATGCTTTCTTTAGAAATTCATTCTAAGAAATGAATATTTAAAGGAATTGAGTCTTTGCCACAAACTCTAATTTTCTAATCTCTAAATCTTTGCAAACCTTGGATATTTCAAAATATGAATTATGTTTAAAAAAATCTAAGTTTGAAATAAAAAAAGTTTACTTCATCATCTTGCAAATATATAGGTATTAGAAAAATAGAGTCTGTTGAAAAGACTAAATTCCTTTAAAAGAAATTGATTGAGTACTGTTTATTGCATTCTCTTCTAAATTTTCATATAAATCTATTGATAAATAGCTGAGTTATATTATCAAATTCGCTAAAAATAATCGATGTCACCTGCACCAAATCTAACCAAACCTTATAAAGGTGGGAAAAATGATTTTTTTTGTCATTTAAATTTAATTTATTATTTATTTTGAAGATATTTCAATTTTTCAAAAAAAACTGCTTTTTTGGGTTTTATTTTATGCAATACTTATATTTGATATTTTTGAATATTGGGAATTACCTTTATACATTTGAATATTTTTTAACTTTAAACAAGAAACTAAAAAAAAGCTACGACCTATCGTTTTTACTCTACCCTACACAATGATCTTGTCAGAAGAAGAAGATGCAATGTCAAATTTTCATCTAATAAAATTTGTTGTAGCAATGAAGCCAAATTTAACCTAGTAGCAAAAGTCTTAAATTGTTGTTGAAAGAAAATTATCATTCCTTTATAAAAAGCTGGTTTTTTGGTACGCAACAATTTTCATTTAATCCCGCCGGGATATTTTTATTGAAAGATACTTTGAAAATCTACAAAGGCAAAAAAATCCGCAAGCTCTCGTGTTTTTCATTGAATCCCCTCTTTAAAAAGGAATTTCATTTACTCTCAGACAAATTAGAATCAATGGAAATTTGTCTGAGAGTAAATGATCAACATTTGAAGAGTTGAAGTTTGACATTTTCTTAGGCTGCACCTTCCCTGTCTGCCGTTTAAATTGTTTTTACTCTAGTTGGGCATAAAAGATAATAGAAAGTCCGATAGTTAAAATGAAGCGGAGTTTTCCGTCCTTCTAAAACTGTCCAGTAGGGAAAAAAAATCCCCTGCTTTCAGCCATTTTGTTTTCAGTCTGTGTGTATTGCTGAACCTTGATTAGGAAACAGAAGATCAGTCTGTGTGTATTGAACCCTGATTAGGAAAAAGAAGATCAGTCTGTGTGTTTTGTTGAACCCTGATCTGATTAAAGAACAGAAGAGCAGTCTGTGTGTATTGTTGAACCCTGATTAGGAAACAGAAGATCAGTCTGCAGTTAGGGTTGGTAACGTTTTGATTTTTGAAAAAAACGATCGTTTCGTTAAGAAAACGTCGAGGAAAATCGAAAAACGAAACGATCGTTTTAACGATCGTTTTCAAAAACGATTACCAACCCTATCTGCAGTGTATTGTTCAACCTTGATTAGGAAACAGAAGATCAATCTGTGTGTATTGTTGAACCCTGATTAGGAAACAGAAGATCAGTCTGTGTGTATTGTTAATGAATCCTGATTAGGAAACATAAGAACAGTCTGTGTGTATTGTTGAAACCTGATTAGGAAACAGAAGTTTTCTGAAACCAAATAAAGGATTCTAATCTTGAACTAAACCGTCTAAATTCTAACATTGTTTATATGTCTGTCTCGTGAGATTCAAAACAAAAGAAACTGTTTTAAATAACGTCTCAAAGTGAAATGATAGAACATATTTATTTCAAACA